TTTATAATATACCAGAATAAAATCCATGGTTATTAAAGAGATAATGAGAAATATGAAAACCATGAAAAGTTGTATCTGAATAGCACAGAGCTTTTAAATTGCACAATTATTGTACCAAAACCAAAAAAAAACTTGAATCAATAGCTTTAACTACTAAAAACTGACTACAGTGCATAAAAAGCTAAGAAAAAATTTTTCTTTAACAGACCAAAGGAAAAAATTTATTGCTATGACTATGACAATGAATTAATATATCTTAAACTCTTGTAAGTCAAAAAATAGATTCCAAAATTATTGAAAAGTCATCAACTTTTATAATAAAATATTAATAATAATTTCTAAACAACATGTAGATGTTGGTACAGGAATGGTATGATTGTCATTTATATATTGTGATGGTAATGTAAGTTTCTATGGTCTTTTCAGCAAGAAATTTATCAGTTGTATTAAATCTTGAAATTTTCAGAGCTCTCAGTCTTAATTAAAGAGAAACAAAATATAAGCACCAAGATTTTATTATTTGATAGCTTCAAAAATACATACAAAGAAATTACATATTTATTATTCAGAAAATATCTAAATAAAGAGCATACATATAAAATATTATACAACAATCAAATGATACATCACAAAAATTTTAATTACATGAGAAAATGCTCATATAGTGTAAAGTAAAAAAAGATAACTATGTATTATATATATTATAATCAAAATACTACATACAATGAGTGTTTATTTTAAATCTTTTTATAATAAAAGACATGCCACCTTTATTAATTCCCTTCCAAATATTCCCTCTTGCTCTAAATGCACTTACCCCAATCATTCTTACTATTTTCTAAAAGTCTTCTTTCTGACTTTCTGAGGTGTGATAAAAATATAGAGAATGTCTCTAAGTGCCAGCTAATGGAAAAGCAGGCCATAGAAATGTTACACTGTGTCCTTATCTACTTATTTACTGGATCTGACACTTTGTGACTTCTGGCTCATCCTTGAAATTGAAATGGACGTGAAAGGTAAACATGTTGAGCTGATTCAAGACATGGAGGCAGCATAAGAGTGCAATCAAAGACACTCGTGGAAGAGGACTTTCAGAACAGCTACAGAAAGAACAGTGGGGTCTGTTCAAAGTAAGGTGAAGTATTTGGGGGACCATTAATGGCAATGTGTCCTTTATTGTAATTATTTTTAATTTAAATGTTTGCCATATTTTTCAATTGTATCTAGTATGTTTAGTATATTTTAGACACATAAGCGTACAACAGAAATTCCTTTACTGTACCACTAAACTCTTAGTTCAGTTGAAGTCAGAATACACACAGACACACTTTTCAGTAACTAGTACTTTATTCATGACCAGTACATTTTGATGAATTAATGAATTAACTGAATAAGCATCTATTAATACCAATTAATGATGAAACCAAGTTTTTGAAAGGGATAACAATTTCTTTCTCATTTTTCTACATTAAACATTTATCCCACAAGATGTTAAGGAAATATTTCAAATATTAATGGAAATGATGCCTTTCATAGCCACGTATAAAAATAGGAAAAATATGAACAAGCTTCATTTTCGATAAACATCGATAACATTTATCTCTGAAGAAACATAGATTGATTTTTAGAGGTATTTAAGCACAGATTGGAAGAAAGTCTTCATTTTGCCTTTGTATTTCAATAGCTTCAGTTGCAGCCTTCTGTATTACAGCATAAAGGAACCTGACGAATACAGACCCAACAAAAGGAGGCGCACTAACAAACACAGCACAGGACAAATAATCTTCAGGCTGAATCCAAGAGTCTCTGGCTTATATGAATACTGCTCTCTCACAGAAAGGAATTTGAGTTTTAGTCCAGGTTAATTTGCTGAAGAATTAAATCAGACAAGTTTTCCTGCCCCTCTCCAGGTTAATTTTGCAAGGGTCTTAGTGTGCAACCTTAAAGTAGCTGTCATGTTTTATGTCAGTGTCCCCCATACCTCATGCAATTATGGATGTGGCCAAATCTAGCATTTGTGATTGGTTCGTTGTCTAGTGCTTTGATAGTGTGAGTGCTACACCCGCCTAGGGGTGGAGCCATAATATGATGTAATGGCAGCAAGAATGTGTGTCTTTCTCTTTTGCTTTGGCTTTGGCTTTTGCTGTTTACAGTGACCAGGAAGGGCTGCCCCACTGCCACACTGTCTTGGAACCAACTGAGTATGGTCTGAAACCTCCCAGAACTGTAAGAAATAAACTTTTCCTTCTCTAACTTTGGATGTCAGATATTTTGTCTCAGCAACAAGTAAAAAGTAACTAAGACAGTAGCCACTCACAAACAAGGAAAATAAAACTGCACCTGCCTGAAGAGTGCTCAAATCTCTTGAAATATATTCTATCTAATTTACAAAGTTACAAGAACTTCTGACTTCCTCAGTAAGTTTCTCATTAGAATGTCTCTCTTAGTAAAATATTAATATGCAAACTGTACCAACTGCTCAAAATGCATTGTAATGAAAGCTTTTCAATGGAGTGAAATAATATAAGCAAATACTTATTTCATGGATGGTACTATGTGTTGCTTTCATAATGATGCTAATTTAATGAATAGGTTTCTTTTTCTTTCAGACTGGCTAATCCATGTTTTATTTCCTATAATTTAGGTCAAGCCCCTTTATAGCTGGTTCCTAGGTAATATCAAAGAAATACAGTTTTTACAGAAGTTTGGATGATGCATGTTATTAAACAGTGTGCTCATGAAATAAAATCCTTATTCCAATATCTGTGTCAAGTAATATACCCTGGAAGGTTGCCATCTGGTTCATGTATTTTTAATAATGCCAAGCTTATCTTTCTAAAGTTTAGATCTACAATATTGTTTGTTTTATTTATTCTGGATTTAAAAATGAGTCACAATAAAACCAGAATTAGTAACTTTATATGATTAAAAAAGGTATAGGTGAAGATAACCAATTATAATAAAAGAATGTTTAAAAACAACTTGTATAGGACTAAGGAAGTATACTGACGTGTTAGAGTGCTTGTCCAGCCTATGCACAGCTCTGGGTTCAATCTCCAGCACCACAAAAAAAAAATAATTAAACTTTAAGTGCAAACTCATGGCCTCAACATAGCATGACAAATATTTTTCCTTGTATGAATTTAGCTAGTGAAATTTTCCAATATTATGGCAACTTTGAAAAAAGTATTAATACAAAACATTTATTTTTTAAAATAAGAATAAATTAGCAGCCTCAAAAAAATATTTGTGGCCCTCCAAAAGAACTATGTAAGACAGTATTAAACTTTGCAAGAATATGTCAGACATCCTGTATGTTGCTTTAATTACTAAAGAAAACCTCAAGTGACAGAGATTAATGATTCACTCCCAGAAAAGAAATCATAGAATAGAAAGTACAGAGTGACGTTTTGTGTTCTTTTGATTTGTTTATAGATAGAAATATCAACTTTTTACTTACATTTTAAATTTCTTTGTTTTCTCATCCTATTTTTCTTAACTCATTATAACTGATAGTACCAAATAATTACTGACTACTTTGTAGTGGTACAATTTGAAAGCAGAGAAAATATGTATACTGAAAGTTTTAGGCACAATATAATTTGACATATAGTATTACAAATTTAGAAATAAAAATATGCTTTAACATCTTAAATATTATTTTTGGTATATTTTATTACCTTTACTGGAGAAATATATTCTTAATCCTGTATTAGCAAGCACAGAATGAACTTAAAGGAAAAGCTGAAAATATTTTTGTAGCCACTGAGAAAATCACTTAGTGATTGCTATTGCTTATTGTTTTCAATTTAAATGTAAATAAACAAATACATAAACAAATGCAATAAATATATAAATACACAAAAATCAAAATCACAATAAGTATCTGGTAGATTCTATCACATAATTCTTTTGTTGAGTTAATACTTACTATTCTTTCATATTTCACTTTAAATGATCATTTAATACAGCGACATGAAGATGTGCCATAATTGGTGAACTATTATTTCACATTTATGTTTCTCCGTTTTCTAGTTGTCCTAATTTTTTACAGAAATATTCAAATTTCTGAATAGACTTAATAACTCTTAAGAAAGCAATGTATCCAAAGGACTCTTGTACATTTTGCTAAATTATTTTGCATAAACATTGTAACGAATTTCACTGTGGCTAACAGTATAAATCTCATTCTTAACTTTCTTAACTCATCACAGTAATACTATCATCATTTAAAATATGTTAATTTACTGCTTGAAGTTAGTTAATTATGAGTTGGTATGACTTTGTCACCGAGTTTTAACAGTTTTTTTGTGGTATGAGATTCTATTGATGTGAAAACTATGATTAACATACTAAGAGTTTCTGATTAAGGTTTACGATTCAGTTTTCAATAAGGCCACTGTACCAAAACACAGCATGACAAAAATTAATTTGATTAGGAATCTGCCAAAAATGGTGATGGTACTGAGCTGATTAACAAGATTGGAGAACCTGACAAACTTTCAATTCTAATGCGCTATTATTTAAAGGAGAGTACTTAATAAAATAAAGACAATTACAGTGATTAAACCAAAGTGCAGTCAGAAAGTGTTGGCACCAGGAACTCACCTGGTTGTTGAACATTTTTGGTTTTGGTGGATCTAACTGAATGATCCCAAATCTACAGACTGAAGGTAATTGCTATTGCTTCAAGTTTGTTTTCCTTCTTTTACGGAAAGCTAATGTATTATGCATTTCTATTCCAATCATTTTAATATGTGTATATAGAATAATTCTAAGTTAACAAAAGAGACTATCAAAGTTACAGTTATCATTGACTATGTCATATGCCCAGGAGAAGAGAGAAGCTGCCAAATATTTGTCACCTCTCTGTCGTCACCAGTATTCACAAAAGATCAGAACACAATAGTGCTTGTAGACAGAGGTAAAGATCAATTAATATCTCTGTGTTGCAGGTCCAATAACCATAATTATCTATAAATTTTATTGCTGTTCTTGTTCAAGGATATTTTATAGAAAACTAAAAGCTATCATGAAATTTCATCCTGATGAATATAGGATTTGATTTTCAATATTCTTTGAAAGAAGTAATATTTTTAAACTTTTTCAACTTATTCTCTGTAAATTTATTGCAAAATTGTTCACTAGCATAAAACACATGATTCAGAAAGATTTACTTGGTACTCCACATTTCTCTGTGAGATTAACTGACATGTACAATCAGCATACACAGAACTACAATCCTGAATACTAACCCTTACAGAAACATTAGTGGTTGCCATTGCAAAAATGCTATGTCTGTCTGTTAAGCAAAACAAAAACATAATCCCAAAGTAAGTTACAGCTCTCAAAAAAATGTATAAATGAGATAAAAATATAACCCTGAAATAATTTTTGCATTTCTCAGCAAAAGTAATTTATAATTTTTAAAACCTGCAATTTACTTACACCTCCGTAATCATAGCAATTCCCACATTAGCATAGGGCACATGTTCATAACTGTGTAGTCTGGCAATTCATTGAATCAATTTTTTTGTTTTTGCTATTTAGATCTTGATTTTAATATTCATGCATCCTGAAAGAAAATAAGTGAATAAATTGAGTTTGATTCTTTGAAATGCCTTCATATTCAATCCATGTATTCCTTTTGAAATAAACTCATGCATATAATAGCATTTATTACATGCATATTTCAATTTTCAAAACACATGTCAAGAAATTTTGTATCATTGTTTTTTACTGCTTTTTCTCTTTAAGATAAAAAAAAATTTTAAAAAGCATGTCAAACCCATGGAAGAAAATAATTCATCATGATATCTGTGAAAAGACTCCTGAATTCACCCACCTATTTTCTCTTCTATTTCTCTTCTAACTTGTCTTCTAACTTTCAACTGCACATTTATTTGGTGGACACATGCAGCGATATACAATGTCCCTCTTTTCACTACCACATTACCCACCATTTTGAAGCAGAAAAAAATCTGTTTTTCATTTCTCTCCTTCCAATTCATCTTACATGTAATAATTCGGCAAGTCTTTTTTCATAATATTATTTTATTTATTGTTCCCTTTATTCCTTTTGCTCCTTCTAACCACTTTAGCTATCAAGTAGGGCTTAATCAAATCATTAGCCCTATTTCATACTCTCTGGGACACAAAAGAACACACGGTGGATATCAGGTGTACAAAACCCTGGTAGAATCACTTAGCACGGCCATGTAAGTACTCTGAGTCAAAACTGTCTTACAAAGATTTCACTATTGTCATACCTTAGTATGAACATACCAAGTTCTCAAGATCAGTAGTAGAAGCAGATTGCAGTGATTCCAGGGTTACTAGCTTCCCTTCTTTTCATTCAGGAACAGCCATGAAAAAGGCCCTTTACTTAATGGTGATGATGTCTCTTGGGAAGCTTCTCAACATTTGTGATGTAAGAGCTGAGGGCTGTGTAGCTCAGGGGTAGAACCCATGCTTTGCATGCTTGATGTCCTAGGTTCAGTCCCAGCACCAAAACAAAATAAAATAAAGGAAAAAAATAACTTGTAAGTATATAGCTTCCTCCCACCATCAACTTCTGTCCTGAAAAACTGTGTTGGAAAAACAGTGCTCAAAAGAAACCTTAAAAGAGGGTCCATCTTCTTATACTCCTAGAAAAAAAACATTATTTGTCGCACACTGCATCCAAATCTTGTAAAATGCAACCACATTCTCCACTAAAAACAAATCATGCTACTTGAAGAAAGGACTGCTTCTAGAAATCTAGCAGTAAATACAAAAGATAAACTTCACACATTTTGAAGTGTCAGAGAATAAAGAAGTATCCCAAAAAAATCACCATGGTAGAGGCATATCAATGAGAAACAGAGGGACAGTAAACTTGCAGATCCAAGAGGTACTGTCTGATATGCAGACCCAGGAAACAATATCAGGAGCGCAGCTCCAAGGCCACACTTTTAGAGCATGAAGCGCCAATAAACTTCATGTTCTGAGGAGCCGGCCCAGTGGCTCCCCGTGTGTGCTAAGATCAGAATGCGTGCAGCAGCTGCAGGAACTGTCCGGCAAGTGGTCTGAGCGTCCATGTTCATTTAAACAGTCATTATCAGGAAGTGTATGAAGGAGTTAGAAAGCTCTTATGACATGTTTTCCAAACTCTAGACTGGCAATAATGGCAGAGGAAAATTGGGCTTTTTGCCTTCTTCCTTGTTGTTTGTTTGTTTAAGGCTAAGCCCTGAACAAAAGTCCCTATGACAAGTGATATGGAAATATAGGTGGAATATATGTAGAAAAAAATATATAGATAACCAAACATTTGATATCTTTCTTTTTTTCAGCGCTAGGTATTAAACCCTAAACTTTTGTGTTGAGCTACATCCTCAGTCTTTTTAATGTTTATTTTGAGACAGACTCACTAAGTCGCTAAATTGTCCAGGCAGGGCTCAAAATTGTGATTTTCCTGATTCAGACTCCAAATGTGCTGAAATTTCAAGTCTGTGCCAACAGGCCCACCATTTCCTCATTTTTAACTTGTGCTTTAAGCTTGTGCTCTGTACCAAGACAAGCTTCTAACTTGAGCAGCAATCTGCTTATTCATTATGCAGGATTTACTGAGAAACACTAAGCAAATACCAGCCCATATGTACACGGCTGCCTTGAATAAACAACAGAATCAATAGTAACAAGAATAATTGCATTATGTTCCTGAAAATTTCATGAGGAAATGAGCCTCTGGTTACTAACTAGATGAGTTTTTTTCTTACAGTGATGCTACATTTCTTCCGTCACCTGGTAAAATTAAGACATTTTAAACTCAGAAAAACAGGGTCCATTTTAGATGGTTAGAAGTGAGTAGACCCCAAAGGAACACGTAACATTTGATGTTGCTGTGCTAGGAAAAAAGCTCGAGTCAAAAAATGAGCAAGAAATCACTATGTTAAATTTTTAATTCATTTGCAGATTGTAAGTGCAGATAGATATTCAAAGAAGACTGCTTAAATAATAGTAACATAAAGAGGTTGTCAGGTGTGTACTTTGTCCTCAGGAATAAACCAAGTTTGGAAACCTAGCACGGAAGTTGTCAAGCTATCAGTCTGACAAATTTGGCCTTATTTTTCTAAAGCTTTGTTGGAATACAGTCTATTTATTCACATATTATGACTACTTTCCCATTATCACTGCTGAGCTGAACAGTTGCAGCAGAGATGGTGTGCCCACAGCCTGCATAAGGTACTTGCCAACCAAGAAGATATAAGTGGGATTACTTAAAAGATTAAAGATGTTTTCTATGATTAACTTCCTTTTTATTCTTGAATTTTTTGGTAATCATTATAGAAAAATATTCAATTATAACTTGATTAAACTACAGTAAAAGAGAAACAAAGTCCTTTTGTAAATTTATGCCAGAAAATGAATGGACAAGTTTTGCATCTAATATCTACCATGGGACTAGCAAATAATATTAATGAGGTTAAGGAATTATTTGAATATATGAAGCACACATCCTTCATGAGATACTCCTTAGGGTCTAACCTCAGAAGGCAGTATCATTACATACTCTACTTGTATGTAAATCTACTTGTAGATTTATTTTATTATTTATAGTATATGTATATATACATATCCTCTGTTTATGAAAGAAATAAAAGATAATTAAGATACTAAAATACATGAAGTGGTCTTGGAAGACAATTACAAAAGGGATCAAAAGTCACAGTAAATCTTTTTGCTGAAAATTGTATTCTCAATAGGCCTCATGCTTGGCACACACTTTTCTGTCAAACCTCAGTTGTTAAGACTGTATTAGCATAATCAGGGCACAGCCTGTCAAACATTAGTAATATTTACAATCCTAATAAAATATAAATGGTTATAAAATATGAATGGTTGCCGTGTGTATTTAGCAGAGTTAGTTCTCATTCTCTCATTATTAATTCACTCATTCAACATTTATTGAACACCTACTTTAAATCGCTTCCCCATTTTGGAACTTACATTCTATAAAAGGCACATCTACAGTATAAACTAAGCTGTTTCTGAAATTTTAGCTGGTCATTTGGTGAGTGCTTCTTGCAAGGTGGAAGCACTTGTCTTACTTTGTGGTTCAATTACCCAGAATCAGAGATTGTCAGCTGAAGTTAAAACTACTGACAAGGTGCTAGCACCTCAATTTTGTCAACATAGAAGGAATCAAAGAAAATGTCACCTGCATTCTTTGCCTTTTTATGAGTAATTGAGGAATGAAGCAAACATATGCCATCAAAACAAATGGAAAACATTTTTAAAACAGATTTCAGAAAAAGACCTACAATAGAAAAAGCAGAAAACTCATGCATAGGCTAAAGGGACAAAACATATTAGAGAAATTAACAGGGAAACAGTAATATGTCTACTCATCTTACTCAGGAAATCATATAAGCAATGTTAGCACTACACAGGGAATGATTTACACAGTCTACTAGAAATCAGAAAGAAACAAAGTATCTTAGTCACTTTTCTATCAGTGAGACACAATACCTGACACTCACATTTTAAAGTAAGAGTAGGTTAAAAAATAAAAAAAAGGTAGGAATTACTTTTATGGCTCACAGTTTGAATGGGTTCAATCTATAATCAGCCAGCTCAAATCAGACCTCATGGAAGTAGCTCATACCATGGTGACCAGGAAACAGAGAGGAAGAACGAGACACAAGAATACATCCTCTAGGCACGCTCCCTTTCAAGTGACCTGTGGGGAGTGGCAGAAACTGGAGATTGATTACACATGGGGAGCAAGGCCAGCCTCAAGAACAAAGAGCACCTGAGGTAAGTCCCATGAGTAAGCTTCTCCAGCCTTAGGAACGCTGCGCACTCAAGACCAGCCACATGGATAAGCATTTACGCTTAAATTTCATATGATGTTCAACCTCCTGAGTGTGTATATAAACACACTGCACCTGTTGGGGCGCTCTCCTCTCTTTCTCCTCCTTCTTCTTCCTTTCTTACTTCTTTTTCCTCAGAAGAAAGGGTTCCATCTTGCCCCAGTTTTCTGTATTCTGAATCTTGTCCTTTTTTCTCCATCCTCGCATCATTCTCACTCTGGAAAATTCTAAAGCTGCACAGGACACAGCAGTGACCTACCTCCTACAAGCCCAACTTCCTAATCACAACTCAACTATTGCACCCCCATGATCTATTGATCTTCCATACACAGACAGTTCGGGGGAGATTTTAAATCTACATCAAAACATTCTTCCTCAGCCATCAGAAGAATCATGCATGCCTTGTTATGCAACATTCATGTAGTCCTTCTCTAAGAATCATCAAAATTTTAATAGTTCTAGCATTGCTAAAAAACCCAAGCCCAAAGTTTCCTCTGAAACACAAGGCACACTCTTAGCTGTGAGTTCCTATAAAAATTAAAAAGAAAGTTAAACATTTCTAGCATATAATGGCACAGGGTAAGAATTCCTATTCTGAAAGGGAGAAATACAAAAGAATGGGTAGAAAAAAATGAGACCCACAGCAGACCAAAACTCATCAGGGTGAATATTAAATCCTATAGCTCCATGTTCAGCACTCAGGGTAGGTGATGGCCAGATGTGATTTCCAAAGGGCTTAAGAGGCCCTGACCCTATATCATTGTTGATTGCAACCCTCATGGCCTGTCATTGGCGTGGTTACACTTGTTGACCAAGATTTCCTTCAACAGGTGTTCCTGACATTTCCAGCTTCCTGGGATCTCTATTGTATTTTTGGCTTCATTATCAGAACTTTACATGTTGCCCTCTCCAAGCCACTTTGGTCTCTCAGGCCTTCTGAAATCTAGGGGTAAGTTTCTAGACTCTGTAATTCTTACATTCTGCATGCCTGTAAACCCAGCACTACATGGGTGACAGTGAGGTCTGCAGTCGGTTTGAGCAATAGCCAAGACCCCTTATATCATGGCTGCAGCAGACACCAAGACCCTGGATGACTGAACACCTACGAAACAGATCATAGAGAACCGATTCCCTAGAAGCCCTCATCAAAGTGGGGATCCAGCGATTCTCTTCTCAAATGAAGTCTTCACAACTTTACACACATAAACCTGCAAAGGGTAGAGTCTTGTTGATTCCTGAAATGTTCTCAAGTTATCTTTCTTATTGTCCTGATGCAAAGTACTTGGCTTGTTTTTAAGGCTAATCTTTTCAGTAACCTTCCTTTGCTGGCACATCCTTTCTAGCAAAATGGAAAATTTTAAATAGGTTTTACTGTTAATTTTTACTGTAAATATGATTGAAATTATTCAAAAGTACCCATGCAATAGCCTGAATTGTGCTGACTTAAATTTCCTCTGTCACATTGATTATTCCATCACCCTTGAGCTCAGTCTGTGGTAAAGTCTCAGGACATGAGTATAATGTAGACAAATTTTTTTATCCAAGTGAACACACACAGCCTATATTCCCATTGTGAATGGATTTCTTGTTTCCAAACTGAAACCTCCTGATACTGGCCTTTAATGATTGCATTTTTATCAACATTCTGGCCTTACAAGAATCTTCTATTAAGCTTGACTGACAGCATTCTAAAGGTTTTTCCAGTCAGCATCTCCAAACCTTTCCAATCCTCCCCAAGAAAAGCTTCCAAAGATTTCTGAACCTACATGGTCAGGTATACTCACAACAATTTCCTCACTTCCCTGGTACCAGATTCTGTCTTAGTCACTTTCTCAAAGTTTAAAGAAAGAGACGCTTATTTTGATTCACAACTTAACGCCATTGTTGGCTGGCTCAAGGCAAAAATAAAATGGTAGAGAAAAAGATGTTAAACTTTTGTCAGTAAAAAGTCAGAGAAAGAAAGGAGAAGCAAGGGAAAATACAGCTTTCCGGGTTCTGCTACCAGTAACTCACCTCCCACCAGTTCCCTGCTCCTAACAGCAAGTCAGTTGTAGCACTCCAGTATCAAATCGCCTTTTACACACATGAGGATTTAGGGGACATTTCAGATCTAGTCCCTAATAGCCAATAATTGAAGACTTCTCCCAACCAAAATAGTGCCATTCCTTCACCTCTATGCTATTGATAAGAGCAGCATGATTGGTGTACCAAAGTGAACTGACTCCCAAATGACCATTCTAAGAACTTTGCTTACTTTATTCTAGTAGTAAATTGGACTCTGTTGCTCCATTTGTTTCCTAGAAGCATGTCTAGAGATTTGTACTTCAGAATGACAGGCATACTGGTTGAAAAAGCACAGACTCTAAAGCATTACTTCTCAAAACATTCCGTTAACATTTAAATACTTTTAAAGGAAATAATCATCTTTATTTCAAAACTCCTAGAGAAAAATCCCTTTTCTTTGAAAACAAAACCTATTTGAGTATGCTACATTAAATCTGCCAAATGTATTTTGCTTTGCCATGAAAAAAAATTCAGTGGGAGTTTGCATAAGTAAGAGCATGAAATTAAGAGCACTTGAGTCTAAGGCAATTAAGGGAGAGAAAAGGGAAAATCCTGGTCTAAGTGAATACTTCAAAAGAAAAAGGAGAGAAGAATGAATGTCCCTAAAATCACACAGGCCATTTATTTGTTTAGGTAGAAGAACTTCAAGTAGATTTCAGTGTTTTCTTATTGTTATAACCTACACTTAAGTTTTCCATTCAAAGCTTTCTAGTCTATACTTGATCTGCAGAACCAAATACATTTAAGGCTAAATGGTTAGGCTTAATATAAAATTAGTCATGGTGCAATTACTGAAACAACATGCTCATACTTACAAAGAAAATGAAATTCTTCAATACTCTTGCTGTGCTGAGGAAATATTTATTCCTTCTAGGGTATGGGGTTTTTTTCCAACTGCTTTGTGGTTTACTAAATGTTTATGGAGATTTTCATAAACAATACAAGGTTTCAAATGGTTTTATAAAACTCCATAACTTGCCAGAGAAGATATTTATAGCTCATTCTTTTTCACTTTCCTGCTTTCAAATTACATTTTCATCCTTACTGTGCCACTCTGAAGTCCTCTCCTATAGCAAGTGATGAATGAACCATTCATTTAGTAAATATTTATTGACTAGCTTGTGGTCAACACAGTGCCTGGCAAATAATACGCAAACTGCAAGCTACTGGATGCATCTTGAATATGTGTCTATGCTAAGAGTACCTCATAGTTCCCTGAGAAACAAAATATCTGAAATAAGATTCTATTTCTAGATAGGATCTAGAAAATAGAAAATACAATGAACATTGTAAAAGAAAATCATGGAAATTCAGAAGAGGAAGACTATCCCATGTTGTGGGTTTCCGAGTGGTACTTCTGATAAGGGAGACCTTTGAGCTTGAGCTAGAAAAATGTTTATATTTAGATGTGTGAAGTCATAGGCCAAAGTCATCAGGGACTGAATTGATATGGGAAAGTGTAAGTTCAGGGTTGTGACATATGTATAGGCACCTCAGCTGCCAGCTATAGATAAAGAAAAATAACGTACATTACCAAGATGGCAAGAAAGAATAATAAAAGGGGAAAGAGAGAAAATTATCAATGCAATACTGAATTTAGTTCATTTCGCTCCTCCAAGCAGACTAGTACCTATAGGATCTAAGAACTGGTCATGTATAGACAAATAAAACAAGTTATTTTATCCTAGTCTTTCTCACAATTTACTTCAGGAAAGCAACATGGGATTCAATGTTTGTGATATAAGTGCTATGATAAAAGCAGGCACAGAAAAGGGGCACTTAATTTGGTTGGGTGGGATGTCAAGAAAAACATTTCAAGAGGTTAAAGAAAATGCAAACTAGTAGGATAAAAAATATCAGTCAAAAAAGTCAATGTGCATCAAAGAAGCCTTACAAATGCAAACAAGGGAGTGTGTGCAGGCAGTGAAGTCAGATTTCTTACAATTGGTCAACACACACACCTAACATGAATTGTTAACTGTAAATCCATTTAAAATTTGGTTTATTAAGCCAAGTCTCCATGTGTATGGTGGCCACTATCAGGACTCCACAGGTAACCAGTGCAGGGGTGGGGAGAAGCACCAGCCAGCCCACTCCTACAAGCCTGCTGGCTGCCATTGCCTTCAGAAACCTGTAGCCAGCGTGGGCCAGAAGAATCAGCTAGTCGTGACTTGGAGAAGCTGCGAGTGTCTGAAGAAGCCCACCCCATGCCCAATCACTTCCCTGGGAACCTTAGAGAAACCCAGGTGCCTGACCCATCCCCTCACACCATGCACAGATAGCCAGGGTAGGATCCCACAACCCACTCATCTGGATGAATCCAGAAAAATGTTAAGCAAAAGGCAATCTCTGGTCTCCAGTCCAAGCCGAACAAGTTCAGGAGACATGGACATGAAATAAAATGGAAGTCACACACTTGAAATTTCTAGGATGATGACAACTGAAGTAGAGAACTACTTAATGAGGCTATAGAGGAAATCAGATCATAAATTATATCTCAGAAGAAGAAATGACAAACATAATAAAGAAGATTGCTGAGTGTATCTAAAGAACATACATAGATTTTTAAAAAACAGCATAGCAGAATGAGAAAAATCCCAGAAACTGAGCACAAAAAAGAATATTAAAGACTATTAGAGAAAAGAAACACATCACCTACAAAGGAAAACCCATCAGAATCATGACAGACTTCTCAGCCCAAACCATCAACTCAAGAAACGTTTGGAGTGAAATGTTTCAAATACTGAAATAAAACAACTCCTAACCCAGATTGATGTACCCTGAAAAACT